CACTACACACACACACATACACATACACATATATATATATATATATACACGCACACGCACACAGTTATTTAATGTATAATATATTTACATATTAACGGATACAGGTTTATTTTACATAATTTATATGTCAGTTAGAAATTATATATGATTGTTTACATATGTATACGTCAGTTAGAAATCTAACTGACATATACATATTTAAACAATCGAATACATAAGCATGTGGAAGGTGTAGGGTTAAAATAAAATACACATTTTTCATTAGTATTGATCAACAAATAACAATAAATCACAGCCGATGTCCAAAAATAATATTATTGATGATTATATAGAAAATAACTTACGCTTGATCTCTTTTGTAGACGTCATCCTGTCCACTTAGCAGGATCTCTACAGCCGATTACTGCACATTTACGCGCATCTAATGAGTAACAAATAGTACCTGCGCGCGAACAGCTGTAGTACTATAAAACACGTCCTCATTGATCTCGCTTTAAAGCTGATCAATGCTTATGATCGTCTATATTCATTGATGAGCCGATTCTTTCAAAGCGGCGCGCCAAAATTCACGATACGGAAATATTGTGAGATGCTGATTGGCTATTGCAGGTGACGTCAGGAAGCTCCCACAATGCTCTTCCTGAAAATGTCCACATCGAGAGGCCATCTTGATAAGGTTACCGTCGTTCCGTTTTTTCAGTGAAATTGTTATTTAAAAAAAGCCACATATGCTGATGAATTACACGTGCGAGGTTAGAAAATAATTGTTGTTTTACTTTATTCTGATTACCAGTAGTCCCAATTATATTTATTGAATATCATTAATGTTAAAAAATTCTTAAACGAAATGTATTTGAGTAACAGGTATTACTATTAATGAAGGAGACTCAAGCGTTGATACTCATGCATTTCATTTCTTATTTTAAGTGCGTTTACGAAGCAAGTGTTTATGAATGAATTCTTTTAAGCATATAGTTTTGGAGTGAATTTGGGGAAAACGTTATTTACTACACATTACATTACGCTGGACTTTCGTGGTTGCAAAATTAAACTAGTTGTACAGGATCATGCCGTGGCTTTCATTGCCTTTATTATAAGGCTGAAATACATGTCATATATAGCTTTAAACAAGCGTTTCAGTTTTGAAAAAAACATGACAATGACTTTGAGCAGCTTTGAACTTTATTAAAGATTTAAAAGCCAAGCAATCACAAATGTTCACAATACTGTCTCTGGATAATCACCCCTGTTGCATTGACCTTTAATAATTATTGCACATTTCTATTGAAAACCTGCATTTTTTATACAATTCACGAGCTTATTTATGCACCAGAAAAAGAAAAGCCTGTAAGGGTGGTTAAAACAAAACCACAGGTTCACATATTGTCTCATTAGCAATAAATATCGGTTATACAAACAACTGTACAGTTTGGATTTATTATCATAATTATCAACCCAACTCTTGTAGGAAATCCAGCACAATGTGAGTATAAGAAAGGCACTGCTGGTGAGGGTTGTGTTTTTTATTCCAAGTCACTTTCCAAAACTAGCAAGATTGTTTCAACTCTAAACTGTTGCATGCCAGGCATTAATAATGTCAGGAAGCCGAAGAGTCAAACTGATGGAACTTCATTCTCAAGATGATGATCTTGCTTCATCACTTCCTGTTGGTGTTTTTAGCAGATCCAGCAGCTCCATGAAAAGGAAAACCCTCTGGATGAGCGGGACGGACTTTTCGGCCCGCAGTAGACGAGAATATACATTCTTGTAGATCTTCACCTGCTCCTCTTCTTTACCACTGCACATGAAAACACAAAATCACCACATACACAATAAGTGCCACATAATCAAACACTATAATGCAATTTGCTTCAATATGATTGGATATGTAACAGTGTTATCGTTAACTAAATCTAAAAATACCAAAAACAGTTAACTGAAACAAATTAAACGTTAAAGGGTTAGTTCACCCAAAAATGAAAATTAGCCCATAAATTACTCACCCTCAAGTCATCCTAGGTGTATATGACTTTCTTCTTTCAGACGAATCCAGTCGGAGTTATATTAAAAATTGTCTTTGATCTTTCGAGCTCTATCGTTGCACTCAGCCGGTGTTGCATTCCTTCGGTTCAAAAGACGTGAAATAAAAAGCACCCTTCCACTGTTGCAGTGCTTCAGTCCAAAAGAAGTTAAATAAAAAGCGCCCATCCATAAAAAAAAAAGTGTCTCACACGGCTCCGGGGCGTGAACAAAGGCCTCCTGTAGCGAATCGATGCGTTTTTGTAAGAAAAATATCCATATTCAAAACGTAATAATCACTTGAATCTAGCTTGCACACAGAAGCAGTTCCGAGAGCATGAGGTATGAGGTTAGCGTTGAGCATGAGCCGGTGCGTCTCGTGAAAACCAATACAAAAACGCATCGATTCGCTACAGGAGGCCTTTGTTCATCCCCCTGGAGCCGTGTGAGACACTTTTTTTGTGGAAGGGTGCTTTTTATTTCACATCTTTTGAACTGAAGGAATGCAACACCCGCTGAGTGCAACGATAGAGCTTGAAAGATCACAGACAATTTTTAATATAACTCCGACTGGATTCGTCTGAAAGAAGAAAGTCATATACACCTAGGATGCCACGGGGGTGAGTGAAACGCAGCCTAATTTTCATTTTTGACTGAACTAACCCTTTAACATAAATAAAAAATTGTAAAAAAATTGTCATTTTAATTTAAAGTTGGAAGTACTAAAATTACCAAACCTGAAAATGGTGTAAAAAAAAAACAAACAAGAAAACATAATGACTAAAACACAACAAAATTACTGAAACTTAAATTAAAATGAAAAATTTAAAAATAAAAACTGATTAAAAATGAATAAATACTAAGATAGTCATGATACTAAAATAACACTGATCTGCAGCATAAATTGAGTTTATATGGAATATGGTACTGGAGTATACTGCTGAATTATGTATATTTTTGTATCTCTCACCTGACTTTGCGTTTGCTTGCAGTGCTGAGTTTAATCAGTTGCAGCAGCAGGAAGGAGAAACTGGGCTCAAAGACGCCGATTAACTTCACAACCTCTTCTGTGTTGAGCTCAGAGGAAGAAGAACTATCTGAGTGGAGTTCTTCAGGTTTGTCCGAGTCTTCTGGCGTCAACATCTGTCAACATCACATAACACCTCATAACAGTGTAAAACTGACCATTCAACAAAGAGAACAATGTATTTATAGAGAACAATTATTGTTATTTTATTATTATTATAAATAATAATATGAATTCATATAATAATATTAATATAAGACACTTTTGTCTAAGGGACTTACAAATGAGAAATCATCGTTAATAAAGGTATTATTATTAATAATAATAATAAATAAGACACTTTTGTCCAAGGGAGAAATGATGATAATGATGGTGATAGTGATGGTGATGATGATTAATAATAATAATAATATAATCTTTATAGACACATTCATGCAAGGGACTTACAAATGAGAAATTATTATTATTACTAATAATAGTAATGATAATAAATATTAACCTTAATATAATAATCTTAATATAATACACTTTTATCCAAGGGACTTATAAATGAGAAACATTTATTTATTATTATTATTATTAATAATAATTCATATAATAATATTAATTTAAGACACTTGTGTCCAAGGGACTTACAAATGAGAAATCATTATTGCTGATAATAATAACAACATGAATAATAATAAACAAAAATATAAGACACATAATATAAGACACTTTTGTCCAAGGGAGAAATGATGATGATGATGATGATTAATAATAGAAAAATACTAATATAATAATCATTACACGTTAATGCAAGGGACTTACAAATGAGAAATTATTATTATTAATATTACTAATAATAGTAATAAATATATAAATAAATATTACCAAGGGACTAACAAATGAGAAAGTATTATTATTATTATTATTATTATTTATGATCATAATGCATATTAACAATCTTAATAAAATAATCTTAATATAAGACACTTATCCAAGGGATTTATAAATTAGAAACTATATTATTATTATTATTATTATTATATGTCTTTGTATATACCTTTTCCTGTTGCTCCAGCAGCTCTTTATGAATGAGTTTGAAAGCGTGATGTGTTTCACACATGATCTCTAGCGCTCCCGTCAGAGTTTTCAGTTTCACAGCACTGCTGTTCTGACCTGGAAAACACAACAAAACATCTGATATGAGGCTCTACTCGTGTCCCATTCAACCTCTCCCAGCTGATATTTCCAATAGGGTCTGGCTGCAGACTTGCACTTGCACTCTCAGACTTGCTCTCTCAGACACTTGCGCTTCAGCAATTGACGTCACTTGCAGTCTTTATTTTTTATTTTGTTCTATTTATTGATTTTTTTTTTTTTTGAATCTCTCAACATTTTACAACAGTGCAAGTCTGCAGCCAGACCCTTCTCGATATTTCCTGCAGTGTGTGTTTCTCACCCGCCATGGTGAACTCAGCGAAAGCTACTCTCTCCAGAAGCGTGCGGAGCATCTCGCACGGGGCGTCACTCAGACTTATGAAGAGCCGCACAGCCTTACTGTAATGCTGCTCTGCCTGAGCTCTGTGTTGCTTACGAACGCTCTCGTCTCCAACCTGAGAGAGAGAAACGGGACCAACAACCCATGTGGGAACATGTTAATACTTATTGTATGTTAGGGCTGTCAAAAAAAAATTAGAATTTTGAATATTCGTCGAATTTAAAATAAAAATCCACATTCGAATGCAAAAACGTTGCATTCGAATTCACACAGAACACATATTTCGCGCATTTTCTAGAGGGACATCTATCACCGTTGCACTCGTATCTCGCACAAAGGAGCCGCATGTTTAGAAAGCCATGTAAAATTAATGCAAGTTTAACTTTGAAAAAAAACAGAACTTTATGGCGGGTTTTTTCCCCATCCCACTGCATCTCATGTTTTGAAATGAAAAAATTTACTCTGTGTGATTGGCTTTCGGCCCTTTGTATTAAACTATGCATACATACATGATGCTGTTTTGTTTATAGTCGTTTAAGCAACTTAATTATAATTGGTTTATAAACATTATTTTAAACATTATGCACTTTTTTGACAGATATGCGTTGAATAAACGTGCATTAGTAATATTTTGCTCGATGCACTCTCTTGTGGCCTCAGGAGAGAAGCCAAAAGCTTTTCTTCACCCTAACTAAAATTATGCATTTTAAATTAGAATATAATTCGAATTTTGATAATATTTTTATTTTATTAATATTTTCAGCCATTTTGACAGCCCTATTGTATGTTGAAGATAAAGGTGTAGAAATACACGTGTTTGATGCTGTACCTGGTTGCGGTAGCAGCTGTGGTACATTGAAGCCAGTCTGTGGTGGATAGTGGCTGCTCTGTACTGGTAGAGCGGCTGGCGAGCGGACTCCGTCTGCAGGTCGCAGTACCTCAGGGACTTCATCATGGTCTCAGTGACTTCCCTTTCGATCTGAAACACGGTACGCTCATGTCAAGTGAAGTTCATCATTTCAGCAGTGTGTACAGACAGAATGAAGT